CTACACTGATTCGTTTTTCTTTTTTAAAAAACTGTGATAAAATGCACAATATAAAATTTACTATCTTAACCATTTTTAAGCATATAGTTCAGTGGTATTAAATACATGTATACGGTTGTGCAATTATCACCACTATCCATCTCCAGAACTCTTTCTATCGTGCAAAACTGAAACTCTATACCCATCAAACAATAACTTCCAATTCCCTTCTCCCCTCAACCCCTGGCAGCCACCATTCTACTTTCTGTCTCTATAAATTTGACTACTTTAGGTATCTCATAGAAGTGGAATCATATAGTATTCATCTTTTTGTGACTGGCTTATTTCACTTAGCATAATGTCTCTAAGGTTCGTCCACACTTGAGCCTGTCAGAATGTCCTTTCTTTTTAAGACTGAATAATATTCCATTGTATGTATATACCACATTTTCTTTATCCATTCACCTCTTGATGAACACTTTGGTTGGTTCCATGTTTTAGCTACTATGACTACTGTGAATAAGGGGGTCCAAACATCTTTTCAGGACCCTGCTTCCAATTTTGGAGGGTTATACCCAGAAGTGAAATTGCTGGATCATATGGTAACACTTGTTTTTGTTATTTTTTTTTTCATAGTAGCCATCTTAATGGGTGTGAGATAGTATCTCACTTTGGTTTTTATTTGCATTTCCCTAATGATTAATGAATTGAGCATCTTTTCATGTGTTTATTGGCCACTCATATTTCTTTGCAGAGATATCTATTCAAGTCTGTTGCCCATTTTTGAATTGGTTTTTGTTATTGTTGAGTTTTAAGTGTCTCATATTTACGATATTAATTCTGTATCATTTAAGTGGTTTACAAATATTTACTCTTATTCTATGGGCTGTCTTTTCACTCTGTTGAACTGTCCTTTGAAGCACAGAAGTTTTATATTTTATGGAGTCCATTTTGTCTATTTTTGCTTTTGTTACCCAGCCCTACTCCTTCACCAGTTGATTCTACTCTCTGGTGTCCTTCTTTTGCTCCTATTTTAGCTTCTGGCCTGTGGAGATCCCCCACTACGTGACTCTAAACCCAAAATGGATCCAGTATCCATTTTACATGAATCTCACCCTTAGCCCAAATGCACTGTCGCCTCTTAGGAACACTGGCCTAGTACTTTACAATTCTTTCAGTCTTCAGGAGGGGATTTTTTCATTGCTTTTATGGGAAATCAGCTGGATGTGAAAAAAAGGGAAAAATGCACTAATTGATTCTAAAAGTGGTACTCGACTTTGCCTGGTTCATACAGTAAAGGAAGAACATTCAGGGTGTAGCTGCCTAAAACTAGGAGCACAAACCAAAGCCTAGGTTTACTTTTTCTCTTAAGTCCATTGAGGTTTCAAATGTGTTTTCCCTCCTGCATTTCTAGACTACTACCCCATCCCTCTCGTTTCTCCATCTCAACTTCCCGCCTCCCTACTTCCATTCCCTGCCTATACAGAGGACTTCTTCCATGATAGGCAGAATAACAGCCCCCACAAAGATGTTCATGTCCCAATTCCCAGAGCCTAGAAATACATTACATTACATGGCAAAGAAGTTGCAGATGGAATTAAGGTTGTTAATCAGCCGACCTAAAAGTATATTATCCTGGATTATCTGGGTGGGCACAATGTAGTTACAAGGGTCCTTAAAAGTGGAAGAGGTGGGCAGAAGTCAGAGTCAGAGGAATATGTGACTTCAGAGGAGGTCAGACTGATGTGACATGAGAAGGGCTCCGCAGACCTTTGCCAGCTTTAAAGATGGAGGAAAGGGCCAAGAGTCAAGAAATGTTGACAGCCTCCAGAAACTAGAAAATAAAAGAAAGTGGACTCTCAGAGCCTCAAAAAGGAACATAGCCCTACTTGTACCTTGATTTTAGCCCAGTGAGACCCATTTGAGACTAATGCTCTCCAGAATTATAAAATCATAAATTTCTATTGTTTAAGCCCTTAAACTTGTAGTAATATGGTACAGCAGCAATAGAACCAGTATGTTCTCTCTCTCAGCCTCCTCAAGCCACTCCATCAGGAGATGGAGCTTTTCCCAGGGAGCATGAAAGGCATTGAGACACAGACTTTCCTTGATGCTTGAATGACAATAATGGGTCATTTACTCAGTTAATAGCAGGTCTGTTGGCTAATGACAGAGCACTCCTCAATAATGGTGGCATCAATAAGATAGGCACTTATTTCTCTCTCACATCAAAGGTAGCCATCTCACAGTTGGCATGATGGCTCCACAAAGTCAGTAAGGACCCAGATCCTTCCTGTTTACCCTAGTGCAGCAGTCATTCTAGAGGTTTAAGATGGATTTCTGTGATCAATGCAGATGCCTCCCAGGCCAGTAGCAGGAGGAAGGAGAGACAAGGCATATACCTCTTCCCTTCAAGAACATTTCTGCTTATATCTCATTGGCCAAAACTTAGTAATGTAACTCTACCTAGCCTCAAGGGAGGCTTGCAATGTATCTTTCAGCAAAATACACCTAGCTAAAATTCAGGGTTCTTGTGGTCTCCGCTAAGAAGAAAAAAAGTCCCGTTACTAATGAAGAAGAAAGGAAGAGGGATTAGAAGGCAAGTTGTGATCTCTGCCACAGGTCACCCTGTAATCTGATGTAGATTCAGGGCAAAAGAGTCACTGGCCAGAATCTTAAATCTCCCAATAAGAACTTGGTAATTCGGTGATAGTCTGCATTCCAGCGTGATGAATGAATTCCAGTTTGGCAGAAACATTAGCTTCACAGAACAGCATCCAGGGGCTTGTAGATTGTGGCTGCATCCAACGTTGGATGAATAGAAGAGGCTACTCTTCTGAATAAGTCAATGCTCTATCTTAGCCCTGTGAAGTCTTCCTAGGCTGTTAGATGTTTGTTTAATTGTGGGGCATGTAATTTCCCTGTGAGGCTGCGATGATTGGGTCCCTAACCATGCTGATGAAATAATACTTGTTAAAGTCTCCTTTTATTATTTTGTTTTTCCGTGCAATTCTCCTTCCTTTGATCTCCAAATGTACAAAAGTAGAGTTCAGAGATCTCTGTGACTTCAAAAATTCCTTCAATCTTCCCTCCCATTTTATTGTCTCCAAACTCTTTGAAAATAAATTGAGGGATGGCCAGGCACGGTGGCTCACACCTGTAATCCCAGCACTTTGGGAGGCCGAGGTGGGCAGATCACGAGTTCAGGAGATGGAGACCATCCTGGCTAACACGGTGAAACCCCATCTCTACTAAAAATACAAAAAATTAGCTGGGCGTGGGGTGGGCACCTGTCGTCACAGCTACTCAGGAGGCTGAGGCAGGAGAATGGTGTGAACCAGGGAGGCGGAGCTTGCAGTGAACTGAGATTGTGCCCCTGCACTCCAGCCTGGGTGACAGAGCAAGACTCTGTCTCAAAAAAAAGAAAAAAAAGAAAAGAAATTGAGGGAACAATTAATTATCCTCCAATTTATTCTGTAAATGTTGTTGGGTCGCTTATTTTGTAGTATTCTTTAACATAATATTCTCCATGAAGGGACTTGTATGTTACAGAGAGTTATACATAATTTCTTCTTTTGTCTTGAAAAATTGGATATCAAGAAATAAGTACCAAAAGAGATAATTCATAGATTTTTGCTTTTTGGTCATTAAGAAAAGAATTATTTGTTGATTTTAGTTGGTATGTTAAAAAAAATCTATGTACAGAATTTGTTATGGGTTATGCTTCCTTTTTCAGCTTTTCTGTGTGTTCTCTCTTTTTCTTTTTAAGATAAGTAACCTGATCTTGCTTCATCCTTTGGTAAAAAGATTGCCCAAAGCTAGCAGAAGTCATTATTTTTATATCGTATCTTCAGAACAAGATTCCATTAGTGTCAACGAGGCAGTGTTTAATGTTTCTGTTTCATGGGTCATGCACTCCAGTCAAATCAAAGCACTTAGGTTTTGCTTTATCCAATAGGATATCAGTGATCTCAAGGAGCACATTTACACAGATGGTCCTAAAATTGCATATGACACCTTGACACAAAGTAAGATTGATTCAGAATGTGGGGGAAATGGGTATTGAGAATAAAATAAGATATTTTCCAAGATGAACAACAATAATAAAGTGAGATGGTATATCAAGAAAGGATTAGAAGAGAAATGAATGTGGGATATTCATGACTATGAAAGGATTAGAAGAGAAATGAATGTGGGATAGGATTTGAAGGAGAGCACACATGGAGAAAGAGGTACGGTAGAGACAAAGAAACCATCTCACAGTCTGCGTAGGAACAGAACTCTACTCTCAAACTCCTGGCCTCAAGGGATCCTCCCACCTTGACCTTTCAGAGTACTGGGATTACAGGCGTGGGCAACCATGCCCAGCCAAGAACTCTACTCTCAAAATGTTAATGTTCCAGATTTATAAAAGAAATAAGTTAATAAGTTTGTTGTACTTCATTTAGAATAACACTGGTGAACTAATTGACATATTTAACCATTAGGCATGGCAATCCCTCCCACTTGGCATGATAGACATGTCCCTGAGGAATTATGAGTAAAGTAGATCGTTGTGACTCAAACTTAATTTCAAATAGAGTGGGGAGGAATGGTTATTTACAACAATGCTGGAGTAAGTGACACTGAAAAGCCAAGCCTCCCACTATAGTGTCTCTGTAGTATAATACGCTGAAGTGGTCACAGTTAACCAGAAGGATAGGGTTTGAGCCCACTGGGAGAACATTTGGTAATATTCTTTGTGTGTGTGTGTGTGTGTGTGTGTGTGTGTGTGTGTGTGTGTGTGTGTGTGTGTGTTTTCCCTCTGAAGAAGGGATGGGGAAGTAGGGAGAGTTGGAAAATCAAACCTCATCCTCTGGTCTGCCTGCCAATCTGAGGTAATACTGACCGTGGATGGAGAGGGCTGGAGAAGCCGGGCCTGCCTACAGCCACTGCTTTGAGATCCCCTAGTTGCGATGAACTTGCACATTTGCTAGCTCGTGAATTCTCTGATACAGTCTTCTTTTTGTTTTCTTTTCTAGTGTTTCTGAAAGATCTATCCAACACTCCGATGGCCAGCAACAACACCGCCAGCATAGCACAAGCCAGGAAGCTGGTAGAGCAGCTTAAGATGGAAGCCAACATTGACAGGATAAAGGTGAGGATGGCCTAACCCCACACTTCATCTAGCCTGAGTCTAAGGCACATGATTTGCCATCATCTGTCATGTGACCACTCTTTCCTAGAGAGGGATAAAACCAGTAATGACAGGAGAGCATCTTAAAGATTAGGCAGAAGTTCATTTCTAATGTATCTTTCCCTCCTCCAGCATAAAATAATAGAATAAATTAGATCCTCTTTCCCGTGTAGAATTAAAAACAAATAACGCAACATAACAAGAAAGCAAAACAGGCTCATGGTTAAATTTCAGTGACAGAAATTAGAGAACATATGAAATATATCAGTGCACTAGTTCCCCTCCCTGTCCTCATGGAAACCTTTTTCTCATTTGGTTTTTAATTTTTTCTGTCCTGGTTCAGGTTCTAAAGCTAAATGTCTATCCTTTGTGTCTAACCCTTCTAGTTATCCTTGCACATTATAAGTTTTTTCTTCTTTATTGAATTTTTTTTCCTGCAAAACACAAAAGTCACACCTTGCCTCCCTCAGAAGTCTATATGTTTCTTTTTTTCCTCTCCCTCCCCAGACCTAACCTGACAGCTTTGCCGTAAGTTGGGGCTAATGCACCTAGAACCAAGACTTCAAATTCAGACCCTTTGTTGGTAGTTTTCAGATGAAAAGTTGGCTAATATGCTGTCATTATTAATAGATGGCTATGGCATGGTGGCAAAGTGAATTTTTGTTAACCATCAAAACTTTACTGCCCCAGAAGTAAAATGCCTTACCCAAGAATTCTATGAAATGCAACTCGGAAACATATCTCATTGTACTAAGATAAAGCTACAACCTTCTTCCAAATGCCCTTTTAAAACTAGAATATTTTTCCTATTTTCTCCATACTTAATTCAGCACCTGGGCAATCCAGCTTTCCTTTGGAGTCTGACGGGTCAATAAACTGTAGCTCATGGGCCAAATCCAGCCCACTGCCTATGTTTATAAATAAGGTTTTATTGGAACACACTCATTTACATATTGTCTATGACTGCTTTCACTCTAAAGCAGCAGAGTAGAGTGGTTGTAACAGAGACCATATTGCCCGCAAAGCTAAAATAGTTACTCTCGTGCTTTATAGAAAGCTCGCTGACCCCTGGGCTACAGCAGCAGTTCTCAGCTCACCTGTGCGTTCCCAGCACCCAGAGAGCTCTATAAAAGGACCAATTACCAAACCACACCCAAACCAATTAAATTAGAATCTATTGGGGTATGATTCAGGCATCAGTATCTTTTAAAAAGAATATTTCAGTTCATTCCGATGTATAGCCAAGGTTGAGAACCACTGTCCTGTGGGAAGGAGTTTGCTTCTGCTAAGTTTCATCAGTTATGTGCTAGCGAGTGAAGAGAGAGCTATTCTTGCTCTACAAGTAAGATGAGAAAATACCCATGGATGTCTTCCCATTTATCCTGAATCTCCTTTGTAAAATTTGATGCCTACTAATGGACCACAGGATTTAATCAGCTCCTGCTCTTCTTTCAACAGCCTTAATTCTTATTCTTTACTCATGACTGAGATCAATAAAGGGACCTTACCTTGCTCCTTTGCCATCTTCCTCTTCTCCTCTTTTCTTGCTTCTTCTTTTTCACTATCTTGCTGAAAAAGCACAAGGTGACAGGTGGGCACAATAACTGCTGAAAGAAGTAAGGTGGCCCATGGATTGTCAAATCAGAAAAGGTCATTCAGTTATTTTTGAGAGAGAGGAGGTTCTGCCCATGGGCCTTCTGGAAAATACCACTTTGATTTTTGAGGTGGTCCAACTGTGATAAAAGTTTGCGAAGCTTTACTGTGGTTGATGTTTTCTGTTAATATTCAGCATCCCCAGTTACTGTTCCTGAAGGAGGATGTGATGTGCTTATGGGTGATGAAAACTGAGATAAGAAGAAAGATAATAGAAATAGAGCTTTTCAGAAATAGTCTAGATTTTATCATCCCTCTCCTGAATTACTGAATGCAAGGGGCTCCTATTTGCTGTCTGCAGTTCCATCTCAATACATCTCCATCCCCACCATCAATTACCTTCCATATTCCTGCCAAATATAATGTTCTAAAAGAAAATCTAATTATACTCCTCTTCACTGAAAATCAACTCATGATTCCCCATTACCAGTAAAATAAAATTCAGACCCTTTAGCAGTGTATACAAAGTTTCTCTGACCCCTGTCATCTCTTCAGCTTCATTCCTGCTCTCTTTTCTGCATGCCATGTAGAACCACTTTTAATTCTTTTGATGGAAATTTCAAATACCTAGAACATCCAATCTCCTTTGCCCCTCTACCTTGCTGCTTTACTTACCTGACTTGACTTAACACTTCACTGCATTGAATCATTAAAGATTCAGATCAAATTATTAGATCCTTTAAAAAGTTTTCCTGGATCCTCATCATAAGGTTAGATTTTTGCTGTTTGTTCAGTTGTTCATTCATTTACTTATATAAAGCTCTCTTACTGGGAACTTTCTAAATTGCAAGGGCTTGTTAGGTTCTAAAGAGGTGGAGATAGACAAAAACATGATTCTTGCTCTCAGAGAGCCCTGACCTAGTTGGGGGCTACAAAAAAATTGAACAGGGCCTGTTATTGATGCAAACAAGATATCCAAGAAGCATAGTTACCAAATGTTGTCAGAAAGAAGCCAGCCCCACACTCTGATTGCCCTTTGAAGAGACACAAATAAATCACTACTAAAAAGGAAGCAAAGCATGAATCTGAAAAACTGGATGTGAGTAGTTGCCTTCCTAGGTGATCTTCACATTCAAATCTCTGAATCCCACTTGATGCCACTGGACCTTACATTGTTAGAAATATAGCAACAGCCTGCATTTCAGCATTTGCTGTGTACCTCAGAGCCAGGCAGGCTTGCTGTGGTGAAGTGACAGATTATTTTTAGTTGAGCAGTTGGATAAAACGTTGACTGTGTTGACATGGTTGTCAGCTAGCTAGTTTAGGGTTGGTTATCTGCCTTTAGAAGCCTTTTCAAGGCTTTTGAGCATTCAGGCTTCTCCACCTACTTTCCATACACGATCCTGTCAGCAGAAAGGGGCTTCTCTCTGAAGATCCCAGGCTTATGATTTTCCAATGAGAGTAGTGACCTCTTCAAGCTATAAAGGATAGAAATGGCTTTATATATGTCTGGCAGAACCTACTGCAACTGAGGTGGCAAAGAATAGGACTCTTAAGAAGAGGATTTGGGGACACAGCTGGAATTGGAGTTGTTGAGGGTCTCTTAAGCAGGCGGTGGCCTTATCCCTCATGTGACCCCTGAAATAAATTACACTGCATAGAGTAGCCCTACTCTGTGAATAACATAGTCACATGAATAACTTTTTTTTTTTTTTAAGCCTTCTTGTTTTCTATTCCTTTACATCACAGACCCTGGGAGATTTGGACTAAGTGAACCCATTATCTGTTCATAAGCCTCAGGCATGTATAAATTATACTCCCAGCCTCTTTGTATTTCTTTGTTAGGATTTCATTCAAGGACAGAGGGTAAAGAGAAATAAAACGAAACTGGGAAGAGAGTTAGGGGAAGGTGGAGAGAGGGGCTGTGGACTGTGACACCTGGATGAATGAAACAGCAATAGACTCACACTAACACTAACCAAAGACAAAATGAAATAAACCTTGTCCTTAGAGCACAAGAGGAGGGAACATGCACAAAAGTAAAGGACAGCAGGGCTTTGGTAAATCTCTTTATTCATCATTGTATTAGGACTCTTTGAGTTTCTAATAATAGGAATCTAAACCAAGCTAGCTTAAGCAGAAAGAGGTACTGATTATAAAAGATACAGGATGTCTCAATCCAAGAGCGGAAATGTGGCTGGACAGGCAGTGGAAGCGAGAACTGCAAGGCCATTGAGAACTGCGAGTGCTCCATCACCTGTCTCTGCTTCTCTCTCTGTGTCTGCCTCTTCCTTTTCCTGAGAAGAAGGGATTTTTAGCTGCCAGGTCCATATAGTAGGCACAAGATGACTGCCCATGGTTCCCAGGATCACAACTCATAGTTCCAGCTCCATGAAAAAAGAGATGGCTTGATTCAATCCTTTTCAGTCTCCATAGCACATAGTCCTAGAGTGCCATCTCTGTTCCAGCAAGAATGAGCTGTCTCCAGCTTCAATCGACTGACATTCGAATTGAACTCCATTATACAGACATAGACCCTAGGAATTAACCTGCCCATTTGGAAGAATGGGAATGGGAATGGGAATCATTGTAAGCTGGAAAGATGCTCTTTGGCAGGAGTTGCTATTAGTACTATGAAAAATAATGTAGATTTAAGAGCAAAAGATATAAGATGCAAGGCCAGGAGCATGGGTAAAATTATTGCTTCTTAATTAATTGGCTGTTCCATAAATTGACCCCACAGGAAAAAGTGTCTCATTTCTCCCATATACTCACCACAGACCTTTCCAAGTGATTCCCTTTATTGTTCTAAAAGTGTGCTGTGCAAAGTGTCACCTCCCTGGTTATTCTGGGTTTCTCACTGAGAATACCCTTCCCCCTTATTTCTTTGCCTCTGCCAATCTTATTCCTCCTTTAGGGGTCAGCTCAAGTTCCTACTTGTTCATGAATCTCTTTTTCTATTCTGATCATATTTACTAATCAATTTACTAATTAGTTTCATCTTCATCAAATAAATTTTTCCACCTAAACTACATAGTCCTTTTCAAAGACCATGTTGTCCACTTGTTTGCATCTTTCATGGTACTGGGGTGCACAAGCATTTTGTAAAAACTTTTTTTAGTAGACAGCTTTAAATTTGTATGTTAAGAGTGTCATACAACAAAACATTACTATATTCCCCATGACATTCCCAATTACATTTATGGACTTGGAGATTCCAAGCATGAATGTAACTGGACAAATAAAACGGTGGTAATGGGGAATTCAAATTAAATATTTTTTTAAAGGATGGAATTAGTCATTTTAAAGAAAGATAAATTGTTTCATATCATTGTATGATCATAAGTATCTAGCGTTTATAGTGTGCC